ACTCAGTTTCTATACGGACTGGTGCCTTAATCAAAAGTGGCTCTCACTTATGAAAATTAAGAATTGACAATCAGGACTTTGGGCTCAATTGGGGGTTGTAAGTCAACCTGTATTCTGAAATGTTATTTATTTTTACCTTCGTTTCAGGAGAAAGAGACTTTAATACATGACAAACTCCATTTGATTCTTCCATTTTTCAAAAGGCACAATGTAATATTTTGGAACCTGCCCTGCAAAATCCCGGATTCCACAAGAGATTTTTGAGCAGAAAGACATAACTGCTATGGTTTGAAAGACTCGGAGGGCAAGCTAATGGGGTCCATCTGTGGAGTATTTTGCAAACTGAAAGAAAATAATGTTTCAGGGTTTGGTGGTTAAAACCTGATCCCCTTACAACAACAAAAGCATGTTTTGTCAAGTAAGACTCAAGTACTCCCAAAAGGTAAAAAAGACAAGAAAAAGAAACTTTAAGTTTTCCAGATGTCTTGACATTTTAAATAAATAATTGAACTGTTGAAGAACACTGGTCTGCCTTACAGATAACTCAGCATAAGCTTCTAGCCAAAATTTCTCATTTTTTTCCAAGCTAATCTATCTTGGAGGGTCATTTCTGCCACCCTTACGTGATATCACACATAATGGAAATCGTTCAGATGGGAACAATTTGGAGGAGGAGGAGGAGGAGGAGAAAGGGGAAGGGAGAGATCCTTAACCCTTTATCAGCCTGTACTTACTTTCACCTTTACCAGTTGTGAACTTATGCTAAATTGTGAACATGGCTCACATCACAAACTAGCCACATTTTAGTCTAGCAGCATGGAAGAACCCAACTAAGAAACAACAACTCCGGAGGTAACTGGATCAAACCAATCTTTATTGCAGTCATTAACCAGCATACCGAATTTACCGAATAAGCTATGATTTGGGTAACCGTGAGCTTGGCATGCGCAAACCCAGCCAGCTTGTGTTAAGTAATCGAGAGTCATCCCAATAAAACTGTTTCATTAGCCCGTCCTGCACCACATGATGTTGGCTGAATGAAACAAATTTATTTAATTGGTTGGCTTTTATGGGGTCCCCTCCACTGCCTGGACCATACACATTATCACCCGAATCTGCACAGCACTTTTGGTTAAAATGTGATTGGCTTGTTTATGATTGTGCAAACATGCTCTGAGTGCACTACTCCAAAATCCAGGGGCCAACCTGCATTCATGGCTTATGTAGTCACGGTCTCCTGGCTCCTAGGCCAGCACTTTAACCACTAGACCAGGGTCGGCAAGCTTAAACACATAAAAGAGCCATTTGGATTTGTTTCCCACAGAAAACACCGGGAGCCACAAAACCTACTGGGGATCGAAAAGCTCAATAAATTGCGTGTCGATGGGTGTCGCACTTTGGCGGTTGTGACATATTTTGAGCGACAGGGAGCCGCAGCAGAGGGATGAAAGAGCCACATGCGGCTCCAGAGGGCTCCAGGTTGCTGACCCCTGCACTAGACCAAACTGGCTCTTAACAACTGTATTTAGTAAGTCAAGTCACCTTCAAAGTTCCAAAAGTTGCTCCCTCCATAGTCATGTGGTACTGTGATACTGTGCTCCAGTACCAGAAGTGGTGTCACATGGTCATGTGAGACCACTTCTGACACTGGAGCAACTGAATCATACTTACAGCCGTTTGCAACGTCCCATGGTCACTTAACCCCATTTTGCAGTGGTTTTGATGAAAATTGGCATTTTATTTTTGGTTTTCAGCCAGACTGCCCTCATAGCAAACTATAAGTTCGCCTAATGATTCATTTAACGACTACACAATAAAGGTCGTAATATTGAGTAGTGATATGATCAACTGTATTACAACCATCATGTTAAAATAGTGAAGGGCGGTCTCCATTATGATTGTAACTCAATGACTACACATACTGTTGTCTTATAACAGAGCACTAGTTTGGCGTAATGATGAAGGCATCAGGCTAAAAACTGGGAGACCACAAGTTCTAGTCCAATCTTAAATCACAAAGCCAGCTGTGTAATTTTGGTCCAGTTACTTTCTCTAAGCCCTAAGCAAGAACCAATGGCAAACCACTCCTGACTTGCCAAGCCAGTCTCTGAAAATTGGACACAATTGAAAAGGAGAAAAAAAAACCTTTAAAAATATGATAGGCATTCATAAAAGGTTCCATTTCCCTGCAATTTTGTTTATAAAAGCAGGATTGTTTTAGCTTTTGAGTGAGCAGACTCAACAGAAAGTGACTTGCTACTGCAAAAAAGTATGTTTTCAAATTTCATAAACCCAACCAAGTTGTGTGTCCTGTGATTATCAACCTAAAAAATGCAAAATAATTTTAGGTTTATTGAAAGGCATTGTAGCCCCATGTTTATTACATAAAAATTCTATATTGTAAGGTAACTTCCTTTCTTTAAAATTCTCTTATGGGATAAAATGTTTCTTGGGAGGTTTTTGTCAAGCCAAAGGACCAATGTAGAAATATTCTTTCTTTTGCTAAGATTCTCTACCTTCTGGTCTCTAACTCTTGGATGTATTTTTTTCCCCAGATTCTTTATTAATTATGAAGGATTAAGAGTTTACGGATTAAAGATGAAATCCTAAATACTTTTCTCCTGTAGATCCAGCCAAATCTGGCAACTCCCTGTCCAATTAGATTTAATTCTCCATTCAGTCACGGGTGAAGAAGAGATTCCCTCCCTGGGCAAGTACAGGTAGTCCTCGACTTACGACCACAATTGGGCCCCAACTCTATGTTGCTAAGCAAGACATTTATTACGTGAGTTTTGCTACGTTTTACGAGTTTTCTTGCTGTTGTTAAACAGAATCATTGCTGCTGTTAAGTTAGCAACCCGATTGTTAAGGGAATCTGGATTCCCCATTCACTTTGCTTATGAGAGGTTTGTGATCGCATGACCCCAGGACACAGCAACCGTCGTAAATAGAATAGATTAGAACAGAATTCTTTATGTGATTGGACACATAAGGAATTTGTCTTTGGTGCAAATGCTCTGTGTACATAAAAAGACAAGATACGTTCATTAAGAATCATAAGCTACAACACTTAATGATAGTCATAGGGTACAAATAAGCAACCAGGAAACAATATTAATAAAAATTATAAGGATACAAGAAACAAAGTTACAGTCCAGCAGTCATAAGTGGGAGGAGATGGGTGATGGGAACGATGAGATGATTAATAGTAATAGTAGTGCAGACTTAGTAAATAGTTTTGACAGTGTTGAGGGAAATGCTCTGTAGTGTCGTTCTGAGGGTAGCAAGTTGAAACAGTTTATGTCCAGGATGTGATGAAGAGATTCCCTCCCTGAGTAAGTCCTTGACATGTGACAACAATTGGGCCCCACGTTTATGTTGCTAAGCAAGACATAGGAACAAGTTGCCAAGCATCCCAATTTTGATCACGTGATCATTGGGGCTGCTTACAACAGTCACATGTGTGAAAAATGGGTCCTAAGTCACTTGTTTCAGCACCGGGTCACCAAACAAACTGTCGTAAGTCGAGGACTACCTGTATCAGGGATCATCCTGGTTTATTTTTACACAAGGCGTGAAAAATTTGATTCTTAACGCTGGACTACAAGTCAGAAACCCAGATTGGTTATAACTTGAATCAGTTGGGCTCAGCTCTTTTTTTTCTTGACCCAACTTCCCTCTTACTTAAAAGATCCCTGGTTGTTGTCCCTTGACTCCCGTTTTCTGGGTTCACACACGACACACGAACCCCACTAAGTCCGGATCTCAGCCTAGGTTCACTCGAGGGGGCAAGTTAAGGAAGGATGGGGGGGAATCCAGAGCGCCGTGGGGAAACATCCGCCCAACACGCATCCTTCCCAACTCTCGCTTAGCCTGGCGCCCCCCACCCTCCCGCGCCAAACCCGTGTACGGGCTCCGACGCGCGTGGGAACGCGCAGACCCGTGTTTCCCTGCGGGCGCCAGCTCCTTCCAAAGCACGGCGTCCCTTGGGAAAGCAGGTCTGCCGAAAAAAAAAAGAAGACAAAGGGAACAAAGCGCTCTGCGGCAGCCCGTCCACATTCCTCGGGAAGGAAGGAGGCGTCTGGCTGGCTGGCGGGCAGGCGAACAAGGCAAGGCAAGATAGGCAAGGCAGCTCCCTTTGCCCGCTGACCCCCGCCTCGCTTCTCCTTCCTTTCGCCCGGGTTGCCCCCTTCGCCGTCCCGGGCTGCGGAGGCCAAAACACGGCCGGCCTCCCTCCCTCCCTCCCTCTCTCTCTCTCCCCTCAGCGACACCCCGAAGGACCTTTCCTCCCCTCAGAGTACGGGACGGTTCACCTGGCCGCGAGCGAGGGACGCCTTTGTGCCTGCGCGTCCTCAAAAGTAGTTCCGGCCAGGCGCGCGCGCGCGCGCGCCGAGTCTCCACATCAACGCTTTCCGTGTGTGGAAAAGTGGAAGGGAGGGAGGGAGGGAGGAAGGGAGGGGGGGGGGCAAAAGAAGTCCCTCCGGAATGCGGCAGGGGCGGCTCCTGGCGCGTCCTCGGGAGGAGGAGGAATACGGAGGGAGTGGCGGCGGCGTGAAGAGGCCGGAGCCTCTCTCGCCTGGGAGGGAGGGAGGGATGGAGGGAGGGGGAGCCTGTGGATGCGGCTGAGGGAAGAAGAGGAGGAGGAGAAGGAGGAGGAGAAGAAGGCGGCGGCAGGGAGGAGGAGAGGGAAGGAGGGAGGGAAGGAGGAGGAGGTGGAGGAGAGCGCCTGCCTGAGCGAGCCCGGGAGCGGAGCCAGGGCGGAGACGGAATGCGCCCCTGCGCCGCCCGGGGTTCCCAGCCGGCTGAGGGGGAAGCGGCTCCCTGAGGAGGAAAGCAGGAGCGAAGGGAGGAAGCGAGGCGGAGGGGCAGTCACGGCTGCAAGAGGAGGAGGAGGAGGAGGAGGAGGCGACGATGGAGGGCCAGGGCCGCCTCCCCTGCCCTCGCCGGGCTCCCTCAGCCGCCTGGTAGAGCCGCGCCGTCTCGGCCCTCCGCGGAAGCATGAGCGGGCAGCCGAGGAGCCGCCGCCGCCGCCGCCGCCGCCCTCGGCCGCCGACGGCTCCTGAGTCTCCGCCACCGCCGCCGCGCCGGTGAGAGCCGGCCGAGAGAGGGAAGAAGATGGGCGCCGTCCTGCGGAGCCTCCTGGTCTGCGGGTTGTGCGCCTTGGCGAGAGGTGAGAGGCGGGCGGGAAAGGCGAGGCTTGCGGGCTGCGGGACCTCCCGAGTGGGGGAGAGAGAGACACACACACAAAAGACCCCGGCCGAGCCCGGGAATTGCGGGGTAATTCCTGGCCGTGGGGATCTCGCGCTCGGCGGGTTCACTTTCCCGGGGCTTCCCCCCCCCCCTTCTCTTCCCTTCTACCCGCCCCGCAGGTTCCCCTTCCCCGCCTTATTTTTCCTCGCAAAGTTGGCGGGGTCGCCTCCCGGAGGACGGTTTCCCCGGAGCCAGAAGTGGGGAGCTCTTGGAGGTGCAACCCGGAGAAACCCTAGCAAAAAAAAAACCAACTCAAAACAAACCCTCCACGCAGGATTCTCCCTCCGTGTGGAATTGGGGAAGGTTTGCTCTTGACTCTCTCTTTCCAGATTTAGTCCCAAAAAGTGTTTTTCCACGGGAAAACAACGTGGGGAAAAACGGTGCCTCTTTGCTTTTTGCCAAGCACAACAAGCTGAGATCTCTCGCTTTTTTGTATACAGGTGTTCCTCGACTTGCAATGGTTCATTCAGTGACCGTTTAAAAACCATTCGTTTAGTGACCGGAAAAAAGTGACTTTGCAAACATTTTTCCATGCTTGGGGACCCATTGCGTGGTCAACATTTGAAAGCTTGGCAGCTTGACTGGTATTTGTGATGGTTGCGGTGTCTTCCCCCGTCCCCTTTCATGATGAGCAAATTCTTTTTGCAATCAGTTTTTATTTTATTTTATTTTATTTTATAGTGTATAAAAATTC